CGATCACATCCTATTAGCCTACGAATCTAAAATTATGATTAATGTTCAATGAAGATGTACCTTGGCTGTGTGCAGATGTGCGAGTTTTTAATAAAAAAACAAAAATAGCATTCAAACGAATATTATGGCGCCTTCCTACACTTCGGGTCCGATCCTTTTATAGAAGAACCTTAATTAGCCGGTTACTCTCAGTGTGTATTGTATGGATAGAGTGCTCGATGCTAAACGTATATGCAAAAGTGCTATCATTCAACCGACAACACTATTTAGTATTATCGGGTGACAGGTTTTGCCGTTGTTGATGCTTCACAAAGCGTACCGTCACTTTGATACTTATCACAGGTTTGTTTTCATCTGAAGCATTGAAGTCAGATCTGTTCTTCTCGTCGTTACCTAATCCATGTGCTTCGTGTGTATGTTATAGAGATCCTATTGCGTTGATCAACAGTAAACCTCGATATATTCATCCCTTTGCGCAGCTTACAATTCAGAACCATTTTCGATAAGAAAACATCAGGCCATAGTTACTCGAATACCGTTTGACCGTAGTTTGGTGCTGGGGTGACGAACGGACCCGTACTTCAAAGAGCCCTATGTTATAGAGGCTGCGCAAGCCAATTAAATAAAGCGGAGACGGCTTACGTACTTGGGTTCACTCCGCCATTCAGCCGAGAGTAGCTGACGTTGTCAGGTGTCGGCTTTGTGTTTTGTTCGCTGTTGGCAAGCTTTACAATACATCTTCCAGCAAAAATTCTAACGGGCCTCTAAATGGAATATTTTTTAAATAAAAACAACAATTCCTAAATGTCGTTGTAAACTATTCGCACAGAAGCTGAACGTGCAAAGTCCCTTGGATCTTCATTATGGGCCCATTCTGGACACTTCTATAGATGCACAAAAGTTTCGACCGCTGCTAGAAACTTACATACAGTCATATATTGCAGCTGTTAACTGACCATGTCTTTAGAATAACCGCAGAATAAGTTCTTTAAAATCTAGATGCCAAAAGTAAATGCCATTATTACAAGTAGCATGATAGAAATAAATCATATTATGGCATAGAAAATAGCACCTCAAATTTTAACTCTCTCAACTTTTAGTTTAGCGGTAGATAATTGAACCGACCCCGCTCGTCTTCGATCACAAATTTTTTGTGAGAAGTCGAAAATATCGTTTTTGTTAAATTTAGTCAGCTTCCTAAAAAATAGACGCATAGTAAATTGGCAGTGTGAAACGTAACTGCCGAAACCACCTATCCCCCAGTATCGAACACCCCCTTCAATAAAAATATGTTTGGAATATCAATTTGTTTTGTTATAGATTCGATCGAATGCGGGTATACATTAAAACGAGTTCACTTGATTCACTTTTACCTTTTACTATTTCAATTATAAATTAAACTCATCCTGAGGCAAAAATCATACATGCGTACCATGTTGAGCTGTATACCAATTTGTTTGTCTCGACAACTTTAAAAAAGCTATTTTCGAAAACATTTTTTCACTCTTCTGCATGTTTTTTCAGACACCTCATCATCATGATAAAATCAGTGAGTTGCGATACAGCGTTATAATGACGGGTTCGGTTTTCCACGACAGTATCATATCGCTGTCTTGCTGGCGGCGTCGTTCAGAGGAAATGTTGATCTTAAGAAATTCGTATTTGAACACTATAGGTCATCACTATACTTTTCTCAAAAAAAAGACCCAGTGCAATAGAGAATGATGATCAGAAGGACAAATTTAGTTGCGAAGCCACAGGAGGTGGCCTGCGCTACCGCTACGAGCTCTACGAGAAAAATGCGCTGAAAATTTGTTCAGATTAATTTAGAAGTTAACCATTTTGAAGGTTGGAAGTGAGCGGTGTAACAATATTTGATGTGACAAAGCCACAGCTGGCCCACATAGTTAATCTAAGCGCCTAAGGGCTGATTGATATAGTGAAGAACGGAATATAGCATTAGATAAAATAGACCAAATGGTTTTTTCAGCTCGTGAAATTAACTTGTGAATCTAGAATGCTGTTTATTGTCACGATTATGTCGAATTTTTCCAGACCCAGTCGGTCCCTGCTCTTCAGTTATACATACCCACTGGAGTCTATTAGGTGACTCAAGTTTATTGGCAATGCTTGATTGCCCGAGATAGGATAGGAAAGGCAGTACATTTATCGCATTTGAAGACTGGCTATTTAACTTCAATGCTACGATCGCTATATTCACTATTAATAAATTCTACACATTTATCCATGGCTCAGGTACGTAGGAAGTTTGTATGAATTGTTCAATAATTTTTACCTATTTAAGCTTGCCATGTACGTACATGTTCAGTGTATGTTTGCACGTACACTTGTGATAATTGGCACCGTATAGTGGGAGATTCGGCTGGCATCAACAGTTCACTGTTCATCGTTTTTGGAAGGTCTGTAGATGTAGCTACTGTCAATCAAGATAGTGGGAAGGAAATGTATGAGTTCTTGGCAAGCCAATAGTCTAACCCCCAATAGCTGTCAGTGCCATAGGGTGACAGCAAGGACGCCACCGTGGAGAACGCATAGGGACATAAAAAGCTATCATAGATTATGCCCTTTCAAGTCCGTAAGCACTCATCGCCGGTGTCAGTTGCGACAGAAATGTGACGAATGTACTAAGTGACGGAGGGGTGAGAATTGCCCATATCGACCCCATCGACTTACTTGAATACTTTAAGGCATACATAATCAACATACAAGACAAGGAGTACTAAGGAGAAACATCTAAAATCTCGATCGACGGAACGCTCGTTGCTATACTATCTTCATTTTATACCGTAACGAAACTAGCTGATTCGTGTCTAATCCACCAGACCGCCATTATGGGTCGAATCGGAAGAAGAGTTGACAAATTCTGACCACTGAAAAAGCAGAAACATACCCTTGCGCGTGGGCTCCCAGTAGCTACAGATCCAACTAATCAATGCGCAGCTGAAACAATTGTCGTTCGTTCGCGGACAGTGCGCTTGTCCAAGACTAGAACAGAAAACGTCGTGCGCAGGAGGAATATACTAAGTAACAAAAAACCCTTAGATAACATTGTTAATTTTTTAGCGCGAAGGGGCTTCGACATGGTTTCACATTAGAAGTTTTTATTTAGAGTTTTAAGAATCATTATTAGTAACGAACAAGTTACTTAGTAAAAAATAATATAGACAAACAGTCACTATAGTGGGTCAGAGATCATGTCTGTGGCTGATAACTTTATAGAGGTATCGGTGAACCAAATAGCATTTCAGAGCAAGCGGAGTGCACAGTAACTTGTAAGTTATAATAAAAAGTTTCCATTTTACAAGTTAACGATATAAATAAGCTGTATGTAAATACCTCTTTCTGACCCTAATTTGAGCTAGTTCTAACAACATCACTAAACCCTGTCAAAAGTGGCTTCTGGTCAGATATGCAACCAGAATGAATCTATCCGGGTTACCCAAACAGAAATATTAGAGCTTATAGAAATGCTTTAGCTATACCGTAGAATGGTATTCTTCAATGGCTGCTACATAAGCTACGCTTTTGACATGCTTGAACGAAAGGCAACTCAATAAAATAATGATAAGAAAAGCGCAAGGATATAAATCTGTTATTTATTTAATTCTACAGGTGTTGTTGTTTGTTCTGCAAAAAAGCTACTAAAGATAACCGAGATGCAGCTCCGTTCATGTCGAAAGCGCAGGCATCACAGATGCGTTTCGCGAGAAAAAGACGCTATTACCTTTTGAAAGGTGTTATCTCATGATGTTTAACATTGCACCGAAAGTTTCTGACGCCATCTTTACTCGAGAGGCCAAATGGAAAAAATCCATTGAGGCCTAGCCCGAATTATTCATGGGAAAATTAGGTGGAATACCAACTGTAAGGGAACTATGTCCGCCAAGCGACAGCTATAACCACTCGCCTTCCCTCCATGAAGTGGACTTAAAAGCAGGTCAAAAAAAAAACGTTTTTGTAAACTATCTGGTTTATAAGACCGTTTGTTATTTTTTAAGTTTTTCAAAGTGCAATAATTCTATTGGCCCGAACTAAGAAAAAATTAACACTTTTTAATAACGGAGAGGTTCTACAATATATACATTTATGTGGAATATTTTTTGTCGTTATTGCAAATAAATTTCGGGCTAGAATCGCGTATTGCCAAACAAAACCAGTAGAAAAAGCTTAGCAGGGGCTTATCCGAGAAAATATTAAAATTTGTTATGATTTATCATGCAATTAATAAAATGGTCCAAGTAGACGTTCTTATAGCCAATCATTATCTCAGATAAGAAAGGACCAGCTTTCCGTGACAATTATAATATAGAATATATATATATATATATGTAAAATAAACAGACGCCGTGACATAGCTTAGTAAAAGTTCTAAACACATGAATGGACCGTTGTTTTTCGTTGCAGTGAGATAATAAACAATGCATTTATGTAAAGTATAAAATTGACCCGCCTGAAATTAACTTGAACCTATTTAAAAATCAATAGTCACCTGCTTTGATACTATTTTGTTTTGTGATGAATGATGGATACATTCAATACGTAGGACAAAGTTTTGGGGGAATGTCAGGCGTTTCGTTCCAGGCTAAGATACGGACCATACGGCCATTATTCGAAGATCACAATGGGAAGTAACGATAAGCGTTACTGATAAGATTAGTTAGTTGATGCAAACATTTGTATGAACGAAGCTAAAATGTCAAGTCGGCGGCTTGTTCATTTCCATCTCTTCACTTCATCTCGCTTTATAGTATTGTATATTATAATACACGCTTTCATCAGAATGGCTTTGGGCAATTTCTACTGTCGAAGTAGAGATTTCATTTAATGTCTTGTAGTTCTTCTATTTGTAACTTATCGTTTAGTAGAAACAGTCTTTAAAATTTTAAAGCATGCTCACAATACACACGTATCTGGACATTAATACGTTGAACTCTAAGGACAGAAAATCCGTGAAGAATTACCTAAGTACATGCTTTCAGGATTCAGACGACTGTCTTCAAGGCGACGAGACCCCACTCGTTGTGTACTGCACGCGATTCTTACCCCCGTAGAACAACGAGAAAGACAAACGCCCAGTATGGTTGCAACTAAATAGAAGAAGTTGCTTTTCGATACGATACTCGATATTTGGTACATCATTTTAGCTTTAGTTTTCTAGGATATCGTATAGTACGCCATGTATTCACATACAGTTTGGATGTATTCGTATATATGCAAAAGTTAACCTTGGTATACTGGCGCTTCGGACCAACATTTTGTTAACGCTCCTTTGTGTAATTTTGAAATTCTGACTGTCTTGGATAAACTTGTTATGTGACGAAATAATTAGCAACAAAATATTTTAACTTGAAGGTCTCTAAGCCTGGGCCGCTCCAACGTTGACTTGTGGGCTTCGCTAATCGCAATTAGCGAGATGAGCAGGACATTATCGACCCTGAATGCAGCTTCAAGTGGGTCCACTCATTAGGACTAATATTCTTGTACAAGTAAACGGTGCACAAGGATACCCAGGTGAGTATAATGGTTTCGCCACTGATCCATTTATAGATAGACAGAGGTAGATACGAGAGCCCCATAATATGTTCCGTTACGAAGATCACTAGGGTACATCATATGCTTGATTTTCTCCAATAATCCAAGCTGTACTGCTTTGAAAATTAGCATTATCTAGTTGAAAGAACTTCTTGTCTATATAGTCGTACCTTCGTAAACGCGCATCGCTGTCTGTACAGGATATGGTACTTGAAAACAAATTGCTTTTTCTGACTGAAAAGATGAGCAGATTTGTAGGCCTTTCTCTTGTAGATTATTACGTAGACTAGTTTTTATTATTAAAATGCTTGTATTACCGGCCCGTTTCTAGATAGCTATAAATTAAGTAGAATACGAATGCTTTATTTAATTTATATAGGTCTTTTTAATACTTCATCAGAAACAGTTGTCAATTAGCCGTGTGCGAAAGCTGAGAGCTACGAGTTCCGTAGATATTTGGGACATGGCGTGCTTGCATCGCGAGCATTCAATGATGATACCTTAATAGTATTTCCTAGGTCTGTATTGCGCAACATAGATAACGAATAGCGCTGGTTGGTTAACGTAGCGTCTCGAAATCGTTAAGAGGCCAGCGTCCAGTTTGCTACGGGGATCAAAGCGCCCGCGGTTAGCTAGGAAATCTGGCTTTTAGCAGAAGTTAATGGCAGACACAGGCAGCGGGCAAGAAGCTTCACAACAACGTTATTGTTTTCCTCATTTCCTGAACATATCGTACAGTAAATTTAACATCAGACTCATTGTTGAGCTGTCCTCAGAGCGACTGAGTTAATTACGCCGTCTATTTGGATGGCGCACGAACCAAATTTGAAACAAGATAAAATGCTGGGACACCGAATCCAGGATACTTAATATCATAGAATATTCTCGCGTGAGTGAACGCTATATATAGTAGCATCAAACGATGTGCCACTCGCTTAGAAGGGTATGTTTATACACAGATGGATTTACCTGCAAGACCGCTAATAACGTTTTTTAAGCTACTTTTTTTTTTTTCATAAATGTCTTTATTTTTTAAATTCGTGACGACACCTAAATTACGTTGCGGTATGGGATTATTCGTGTAGTAGGATGATTGATCTATATGTTTTACTGTAATTTGAAGATCAAATTAAAGCGATCTAAATTTACCATGCTCCAGTCAACTCCAGCCATTGGCCATATAGGGAAACCGGACAGAGTTTTACTCGTGAGAGATGCTGCCTGATGAACAAATTTGTTTACAGCGAAATAAGCACTGCCATGACTAGAGGACCTGATAAAGGCAACTTTATGAACAAGATAAAAATCTTACCCTAGCGGAAACCATGAACGGTGTTTTGTGCCTTTGACAAGGTTATGACACTCTCAACTCGAAAACATTCAAATCCACGTGTGAAACCTGTACAATGATATTATCTCTATTAATGTAATCCAACATTATTTGTTTCACCAATGTTTAGTGGAACTGGAACTTTTTCGCCAGCGTTAGAAATTGATAAGAGCATCGAGCCTACTCTGAGGTTGCTTGGTAGCTTGCATCCCGGAGGAGTTGATGTCTTGTAGAGACATGAAGAAACGCACTCATAGAGATATGTTGTACAAACCCAATGGAGCAGTTTTATCAAAAAAATTGTAAATTTTACGGTACCACTGTTGAATTGAGATGTGGCCTGGAACCTAGTTTGCTGTTCAGCCAATCATCTGGAGTCGCTGCGTATTATTTAGCATCCCCCAAAACCTTCATCCCATGTCTAATTGTATTCATTTTAAGCGCCTTCGGCAGCCTGCGCCTATATAATAGTTAACTAGGAATAACTGATTCCGCCCCTGCATAAAATCAAAAACACGTCCATAATTTGATGATATATATTCATAATTGTATGATTTAACTTATTCTAATGCAATCTAGAGTTAGTGACAAAGACTGCGTGCATGGCCAGTAGGGAACGCGAGTTAGAATAGCATATACTTGGCTGAAAACACACGTTTCTCAATTTGATTTCTTACACAGCCACAGCTTAAGTTACTTTTTTGTATAAACTAAGTATAAGACACGTAAACGACTTTAACGCTTCGTCTCTTGGAAGCGTTCGGCGGAAATCACGCCAAACAAAATAATAGCATCTATCAGGGCTCTCAGCCAAACCTCTCAATAGGCTTTGTACAAACATCCCCAGTACCCCCCATCTACAGACAGCAGAACACGTTGGCATCCAATAGAGAAACTTATTAAATCACTTACGTTTGAGTAACCCCGTACTTATGCAACCGGCAAACGAATACCCTTCTTGTTGTTACGTTCTTTAGGGTAGCTAGGATAGATAGGGTAGATAGGAGAAAATCAATTCATATCATTAGATTTGTACAACAGAAAATCGACAATACGCCCGGCAGTGAGAAACACAGATTTCAGTTTAAGAGAAATATACGACAAGCGCTAATAAGCTCAGATTTTGGTTCCGGTGTTCTTTTCTAAATAAAATTAACTAATCATAAGAAGTAAGATGAAGAAAAAAAATTTTGATCTTCAGGACACTAATGTCTAGCAGTGTTTTCACGCAATGATCGATGGGTATTTTCGTTATCCAAAAAACAACTAATGTAAAACACGATGTATTCAGGTATATTAGTCTTGTAAAGTCCTTATTGTAATTTTACTCTAAATTGATAAACAATAGATCCTGAATGCTTGTAAATATTCAATTAAAGTTCGAGATAGTGGCGCGAGGCAGCCGTGATAGTCGCCGATGACGCACGCTCACCTGCAGCGCATCAACCAATACGTCGTTTCAAAATGGTCTGACAACTGTTAAAGGGAGCTGAGTTACGTGTGGGTATCGACCCGGGTTTTTTGATCGCAGTTATCATTGTCAATGTAACCTTATCTAGTCGTGACGTTATCAGTTACTCGGCAATCGTTTACACAGACATAACAGGGCGTTTTTTACCTTCACTCTTGCGACTTGCGTTCGTTGCTATCTAATACGAGTAAATATTAGTTCAAATAACACAATCTATTGAAAGTTTATTAAAATATGTGTATATACTCTACTTCTTTCACAAATGCTGTGTGTATGTTTGTCCGCGTACTTACACCAAAGTAGACCAGACAGGAAACGCTTATCATTAAAAAAGTGTGTATAAAAACGACACTAGATAACTGATCTTACATAGCGGAGTACTCTTTGACTTTAGATCGATTAAATATATAATGGCTCATCACCGCCTTTACGTTTTGCTGGCTACTCCATGATCTCTCAGTGGAAAGTTATCACTTATGCAACTGACTGTAGTGCGCAAGTTTGTCAATGTTTGCAAACACTTAATTTGTACTGACATCCGGCTTTTCAAATCAAAGGCTTCAAATAGTAAATTGGACTTGAGACGTAACTTGTTGTATCGTGCAAAGATAAAGTTCTTGATCGACTGATAAAGGCATGCTGTTTCACAATTCATCGCTAGATAATGAACACACACACATATAGTAATCGGGTTCGCAATCGAGGGATACTATAAAACCAATAGCATATGGATTTGTAAGTATTGTAGAATTAGATGTCTTTCTCAACAACTCAGCCAAATCTCAAACATCCAGTCTTTAAAGTTTCAGTGGTATATAAATTATACCTGTTTTATCATTGTTTTATTTTACTGGGGTCTTTGATGAACATAAATATGATTAATTAGATAGATTTTCTTCTCTACCTTTGATGATGAGCTATATTTTTCGCATACACGTTCAGTTGCCGAAACATGTATACTTCCTATTTATATTAGGGCATGCTATCTTTTGTTAAGCGTAGACAGAACATGTAAACGTTCGAGCCCCAGCTCATACTTTACCACGTTTAGGTTTTTCTTTTTCTCGTATATAATTATCTGAAACGTTCAAAATCGTAAAAATTCCCCAAACGATACCATTCGTACATATTTACAAAGTATTAGCTTACCTGATCCGTATGTATTTTTGATTACAATCATGCAATCCTTGCGTAAATTTATATATATATATATATAATAATTTAGCGGAATAATTTAGCTGGGAGAATGACATTGACAAGGGCATATCATGGATGACCTCATATATCTGTTCATTCGATATGACTAAATCTTATCCGTGTCGGGCTTTTCGTATTTCCCAAAAGCTTTCAAGTGTATAGGACTTCGGATAGAGACTCGGCTTAACATTGTACTCAAGCATATATCCCGGAACGAGCCATTCGTTGCTTCTTTTGACACTGATGATAATTCCGTGAGAACACGGTGATTATGGCAACGTCTTGCCCGGCGTTGGACGAGATGTCGCGATGTAATAAGTCCATGTTTCTTTGGTTCATTTACTCAATTCACGGGCTTCTAAATAGTGAACTTTTCAATATCACGTTAAATTTCATAGATATAAGGCGCCCAGCGATAATCATACAACTATAGTTCATTTTCTCCCCCAAATCACAGACTGTTCGCCGACCATCTTTCTTCAAAGGTGCCTTCAGTCGGTCCTCATCAACCTCAAATGGTCGAAGGGACTGGGGTGCGTCTTCCAGTTTCAAGATTTCATTCGAACTTCACTGAACTTCCTGAAACTCGTCCCGAGCGATTTTCTCAGGTGTGTAGTTCTCGCTGTACACGGCATAAGTATCCTGTATTGCTTCGGCAGTTCTTTTATCTGGCCAAAAAGTAAAATGAAATGGAATCTTGAAAAGGTCCAATCTGGAATTTTCGCCTTTAAAAGAAAACCCCACACAAAACTCTGTTCACTGTCAAAACAAATTAGAGAATAATCACAATTGACTTAGACAGAAGACAGGACATTTTCGAACGCTCTATCGACCTAAACGAACGATGGATAGGTAGAAGGAAGGGAAAATATTAAAGCAGCTTAACGAGTTTGTGTTCCAATTTAATAATAAGAAGGGTGTTGTTAGGGGGGCCAGAATGACTTT